GGTGAGAGAGAGCGAAAGAGACAGAAGTCTTCCACCCACTGGTTCACTCCCAATAGCCTAGGCTGTATTAGGCCAAATCCAGGAGCCAGGAACTCCATCTGAATCTCCCATGTAGAGGGCAGGGGCCCAAGCACTTGCGCCATCTTCCACTGTTTTCCCAGGCCATAGCAGGGAGCTGGATCTGAAGCAGAGCAGCTGGGACTCAAACCAGCACTTGGTTATGCAACACCAGAATGCTGTGTGGCAACTTAGTCCGTTGCACCACAGCCTGCCCCTGAGCTGCCTTCTGACTCCACAGAGCCTGCTCCTTGCCAGACTGGCCCAGCACCTCCTTGGTGCTCACCCTGTGGGTGCCTCTCGGCCTTTTTTCTGCCTGTTCTCTTGAGAGCACTTGATGTTGTTGAGACCGTCTAGGGGAAAGTGCTTTTCCATTGCCCGGCCATGCGTCTGTCTCTCCCAGCTCCCTGGCTGCTCCTTTGCACTCTGTCAGGGGTCCTGGGGGAAGCTTGGTTGTTTACCTCTGTCTCCCCAGCCCCTTTTCTCTTCCTGACCCTCTCTCCCAGGGTGCCATCCATCCCTGTCACTTCTGTTCTTGCCTGGCATGTACCAGTGACTCCTAAACCTGTGTCCCCCTCTTCCACTGAGCTCCCCCGCCGCACAAAACAAACCAGTCCCAGGCTGAACGCGTCACCTTCTGCCTGCACTGTCCTCAGTGTTGTATTCATGTTTGTGTTGTCTTGGTGAGTGACGTCACTGCCCACCTGATCTTCCAAGCTGTCTATCAGATCCTGAGTCATGACTTGTTCTTCTTCAAACCTCCGGCATTTAATCAGTTGCGATTTTCCATTGCTTCTGTCTCCTCTGGAGCATGGAGTATAGATTTCTGCATCATTTGGTCTTGCAGACTTCTAGTGGTCATCTCTGACCACCCTGGCTAGGACCCTCTGCCTTAGTTTTACTTTCAGTGTTTAAATATTCAGCAGACATAATAACCTGATACTTCCAAAACCTGCGATGCTATGCCCTCCACCCTAAACAACCGTGCCTCCTCTTATTTTTGTTATGTATTTTCATTTTATTTGAAAGGCAGAGAAAGAGTCAGAGAGACAGACAGGGACAGATCTTTGATCTGCTGGTTCACTCCCCAATACCCACAATAGCCAGGGCTGGGCCAGACCATAACCGAGAGTACAGAACTCAGCCCAGGTCTCCCACATGGGTGGCAGGGACCAAGAACTTGAGTCACCACCTGCTGTCTCCTGGGGTGTGCATTAGCTGGGATTGGAAAGAGAGCAGGACTCTGCCAGTATGAGCTGTGGGCGTCCCAAGTGGACGCTTAACTTTACTGCTGCACCCAAAGCCACCCACTCCTTGTTTGACTCCCATCACTGAAGCCATTAACTTCCAAGTCTCCCTCTTCGACTTCTCAGAACTCTTCTCTCCGTGACACACTGCTTTCTCAGAGCTGGCTTTCCTATTTCTCACAGCCCTCTGCTGTGAGGTCCCGGTCAGCAGGGGCCATATGCATGATGTTAACCTTTCATTGCTGTCACCAACCAAGTATTGGGTACACAATGGATGCTCAGTGAATGAACAGATGTTAACATCAGAAGTATCATTGTGAGGACATAAAGGGCATCTTTAATTACAGGATGCGATTCGTGTTTTACTGAGAAAAGCTTTGGCAGGACCCTGTAATCCTGTAATTTCAGAGGGGTTTGAGGAAATTATGTAGAAGAATTTATCAACACTTAGAATCATGGGCAGAGGATGATGGAGAGAGGTGGATTTCCACTCTCTCCTCTTCAGGCTCCTTTTCCAGAGTTCAGTATCCGACTTTCTGAGCCGGGTTTCGGGGTGACCCACGCCTTCCCTCCTCCTGTTTCTCTGTAAACCTCTGGACTCATAACCTACTCCACGCTTGCCAACACATGTTAGATTTTCATTCCTTTTTTTTTTCTTTCCAAGATTTATTTATTTGAAAGATAGAGTGACTGAGAGAGAGGGAGAGAGAGAGAGAGAGAGAGAGAGAGAATCAGATCTTCCATTTACTGGTTCATTGCCCAAGGGGCTGCAAAGGCTGGAGCTGGGCCAGGCCGAAGCCAGGAGCCTAGAGCTCCATCCAGGTCTTCAGATAGGTGGCAAGGACCCAAATACTTGGGCCATCTTCTGCTGCTTTCCCAGGCACATTAGTAGGGAGCTGGATCAGAAGTGGAGCAGCTGGGACTCAGTGCCACTCATGTGGGATGATGGGATTGCGGGCATCACCTTAACCTGCTGTGCCACTGCACCAGGCCCAGCTTTTCAATTCTTTCCTCTATTATTTCGTTGCCATATGCTGCAATCATCTTAAAATTTTCCTCTGTGGATCTTTGTCGCAAGATGTTACTAGGGTGCGACTGGTTGTTATCAGAATCTGTGAGTATCTTATGCACGTAAAGAAACATTACAAAGTCTCCTTAGGATTTATGCCTTTCAGAGTTTTCTTTTTTGCTTCACGACTAATCAAATTCTTCCTTATTGTTCTACTGATTTTTTTTTCTTTCATATGATCCCACATAGAGAAAGGGGGGCTCTATGCCGGCGCCGCGGCTCACTAGGCTAATCCTCCACCTTGTGGCGCCGGCACACCGGGTTCTAGTCCCGGTCGGGGCGCCGGATTCTGTCCCGGTTGCCCCTCTTCCAGGCCAGCTCTCTGCTGTGGCCAGGGAGTGCAGTGGAGGATGGCCCAAGTGCTTGGGCCCTGCACCCCATGGGAGACCAGGAGAAGTACCTGGCTCCTGCCATCGGATCAGCGCGGTGCGCTGGCCGCAGCGCGCTGGCCGCGGCGGCCATTGGAGGGTGAACCAACGGCAAAGGAAGACCTTTCTCTCTGTCTCTCTCTCTCACTGTCCACTCTGCCTGTCAAAAAGAGAGAGAGAGAGAGAGAGAGAAGGGGGGCTCTGAGAAAGCAGGAAGACTGGCTGTCCTCTTGGGTACACCTCTTCGGGTCAGGTGCACAGGGAGACTGCAGGACGTGAGCAGAGCAGTCCGGCTTCCCCGCAGCCCTGCCTGAGCCCCGCGGCCGGCACACAGCCCTCGCGTTCATCCCCCACTCACACTTCCTTTGTCTCTCACCTTTTGCTTTTCGTAACACTTAGTGTCATCTGCTCCCTTTCTCCGTGTTCATTGTCTGATTCCTCTGGGAGACTGTAAGCTTCCTGAGGGCAGGGTGCTCGTTTTGGTCGGCGCTGTACTTGTATGCTTGGCACACGGAACGGTAACTGGTACATGGAAGACACTCAATAAATATTTGGTGATTGGGGTTGGCATATTGGCGTGGTGGGTAAAACCTGCCTCCTATGACTCCGACATCCCACATGGACGCCAGTTCGAGTCCTGGTGGCTCTTTCTTTCTTTCTTTCTTTCTTTCTTTTTTTTAGACTTATTTATTTATTTGAAAGTCAGAGTTAAAGAGAGAGAGGAAGAGAGAGAGAGATCTTCCATCTGCTGGTTCAATCCCCCACATGGCTGCAACAGTCGGAGCTGGACCAGGCCAGAGCCAGGAGTCAGGATTTCTTTAGGTCTCCCACATGGGTGACGGGGCCCACCCACCTGGGCCACCTTCCGCTGCTTTCTCAGGCCATTATTAGGGAGCTGGATGGGAAGTGGAGCAGCCAGGACATGAGCCAGTGCCCATATGGGATGCCAGCATTTCAGAGCAGTCACTTTTACTGGCTACAATACAATGCTGGCCCCTGCTTCTCCACTTCCGATCCAGCTCCCTGCTAATGGCCTGAGAAAAGCAGTAGAGGATGGCCCAGGTGGGCGGGCCCCTGCCACTCATGTGGGAGACCTAAAAAAACTTACGGCTCCTGGCTTCGGCCTGGCTCAGCCCTGGCCATTGCAGTCATCTAGGGAGTGAACCAGCAGATGGAAGATCTCTCTCTCTCTTTCTCTTTTTCTCTCTCGCAGTGTCTGCCCCCCCAACTCTGACTTTCAAATAAATAAATAAATCTTTAAAACAATTTGATTGAATGATGTCTTTATTTTATTTATTTATTTAAATGACAGAGTAGGGGAGAGAGAGATTTTTCTTCTGTTGGTTCATTCCTCAAATGGCTGCAACAGCCAGGAATGGGCCAGCCAATGCCAGGAGCCAGGAACTTGACTGAAGTCTCCTGTGCAGGTGGCAGGAGTGCAGTCCTTGGGCCATATCTGCCTGTTCCCAGGCCCATTAGCAGAAATCTGGACCAGAGCAGATCCGCTGGAACTGGAGCTCTTATATGGGCTGCCGACACAAGTGGCAGCTCAGCCTGCTGTGCCACAGCACCCTCTCCAGAAGCATTTTTTTAAGATTTATTTTTACTTATTCAAAAGGCAGAATAACAGGTAGCAGGGGGGGGAAGAGAGAGAGAGAGAGAAAGACCAATAGCCAGAGCTGAGCCAAGCCAAGGCCAGGAGCCTGTAACTCCATTCAGGTCTCTGCCGTGAGTGGCAGGGGCCCAAGCACTTGGGCCATCTTCTGCTGCTTCCCCAGGTTCCATGAGCAGGACGCTGGATCTGTGTCGGAGCAGCCGGGACTTGAACTTGTCCCGGATACGGGACACTGGCAATGCAGGCAACAGCATTATCCACTGTGCCACAGTGCCAGTCCTCAGAATGATGTCTTTTAAAGCTGCTGTTTTAAAATGTTAAAACTTTATTTATTTTTGATTTTATTTAAAAAGGCAGAATGACAGAGAGAAATATCTTGTACCCTCAAATGCCCTCCACAGGCAGGGCTGGACCAGGCCAGTGTCCAGAGCCCAGAACTCCATCCAGGTCTCTCCTATGTGGGTGGCAGGGACCCAGAGACTTGATCCAACACTGCTTTCTCCCAAGGATGCCCATTAGCGGGACGCTGGATGGAAAGCAGAGGAGTCAGGATTTGAACCAAGCACTGTGACCTAGGTTGCGGGTGACCGGAGCAGCAGCCCAACCTCTGTGCCAAATGGCTTGTCCCTGTTTGTTTTTCACAGAGGCCGATGCCCACCAGGTGTCAGGGGATCCGGCGCGGAGTCTGGTTTGAGCCCTGTCCTGCTCAACACTTCAGTGGACAGCTAAGATGTTGGCACTGGTGGGCGCGCGGAACACATTTACAGAGGACACACAGCTGGCAAGGATTGCAAGTAGGTTGGAAGACGCACTCGGCACTCCCTCCTCCAAAACCTCGACAAAATGCAGTAATGAATCATATCTAACAATATAAAGTTTAATGGGTACACATATAAAGTACACAGAGATCCCAAAATTCAATTACACAAGCACAGGGCGGAGGCGGGATGGCTTACAACTCTGCGCGTCAGGAAGATTTAGAGTCTCCTGTTGATTGTAAGGAGAGGATGAGTCAACCCAGTGTGATGCAGCTTCCAAAAAAAAAAAAAAAAAAAAAAACCAGTCTTTTGTTGTATTAATAGAAATACCGTGTTCTAGAAGGGGACTGGTTGTCTAGTTCTCGCTGGTGGTCAGGCCACATTTGTTCTCTGGAATTCTGGGAGTCAGACCTTCAGAGACGCTGATAAACACAAGAGTGACAAGGATGATAAGGGACCTGGTAAACTGTGTGATTCAGAGACAACAAAAGGACCTAAGGTTGTGTGTGGGTGTGTGAGGGGGAGAGTGAGAACCAGCGTGTGTAGCTTCCTTTTGAAGTTCAGGAGCCAATCCTACAGAGGAGGTACCTGAATGACAGACTGGGGTCTGGGAGGAGAGGGGGAGGCGTGTTTATCTGAGCCAACTGGAATGTATCAGCAGCTAGATTTGCCTAGCAACCAAGTGGACAACCACTGGAGGTAGCAGATTCGCTGGTTCTGGTGCTGTGGCTGTTCTCCGGTTTGCTAAGTCTCTCTGTGACAGAAGTTCACACACCGGGATGAGGGGGTGAGGGGAGTAGGCTGAATTCTAGCAGCAAACACACATGGAGTGCTTGCCGTGTGGAGAGCCCTGGAGTAGATGACTGGCATTTCTAATGTTCACATCCATCCAACTATAGCTGCGCTTTAGAGAGGAGAGGGATGAGGCTTAGAAGGAAGAGGTAACCCATCCAAAGTCTTACACCATGGTGCAAGGCTGAGCTGGGATTTGAATGCAGGCAGTTGGATCCCTGGCTGTCATTGTTAATCTGTAATTATTCTTTATTTCTAGAAAGCGACTCTTTTCCACACCGAGAGTCTATCACTCTAATGGAGCAATCAAACCAAGGAGTTTATTATCTCAAGGGGTAGACGATTCTTTGGCCAGTACATCCCTTCTCCTAGTTTGCAAGGGGTAAATCAGTCTAGACATTTGCCCCTTGTGGTACAAAAGATGGAGCTCGGGTTAGGACCTGGCTCCCACTGGGTGCTCAGTAAGTATTTACAAAGTGAGAGGAATGAGCAAATGCAACCCCACGCGATTGCCCGCATCTGAAATGACAGACTCTCAGTAGATTGCGCCTGAAGGAAAACAAGCACATTTCTGGGTGCTTTACTGAGGACACTTGGCAAAAAGGGATAATCCACGCTTCCTGGCCAGGGCCTGAGCATTCCTGCTCAACTGTTTGCATAATGTTCATTTAAACAAATATTTACGGAGTGCCTGTCCTGTGCCAGGTATGTCCAATGTGCTGAGGATACAGAGGTGACTCGGAGATGCACTGTCAAGGGCACATGGACAGGTAAGCAGATCTTGTTGCTACGCTGTTCTAAGCGCCGTAGAGGTGGGTGCACGTGTCTGCATGTGTGTGTGCGCGTTTTAAGTGTTGTGGGTACACAGAGCAGAAAGAAACTAATTCTACTTGGTTGAAAGAGTTGTCTAATCCTCGACTAGGCTTTAAAAATAGCTTCTGCATATGTTGTTATTTGAGCTTATCCCAGCTCCCTAAAGACCGTGGGAGATTGTGATCTGTTCTCATCCAAAGATGAAGTAGAAGCTCCTGGAGGTTAAGCGACAGCCTCAAGGTCATTGTAACTGCTGATAATAATTGTCAACTTTTACTGAGAGTTTATGTTAACAGTGGCTCTGTCATAAATACCTTTAGGAATTTAATCCCCACAACGCTTCCATACAGTAGTTATCGATACCGTTGCCATTTTACAGATAACAAAACTGAGATAAAAGATTTAGATAACGTGCGTAGAGTCCCAGAGGTAGAAAGTGGAAAACCAGGCTGGCACCTGCCCAGTCCGGTGTTAGCAGCCGTGCACTTACCCTGGCACCGAACACTGTGACCCATCTCCTGGAGACCAGAAACTCACACTCGGCTGAGACTCCAAGTTCAGACTTCGTTCACGTGAACTTGCTCTCTATCAGACATTGTATCAAAGGAGAAGAAACGGTGGTGTGTTCGAAGGAGGGTGGTACAGCGCATGCACCTACGGTGTTTGGGAGACGGATGGTGAAATCCAGATTGTTTATAACACAACTGCTGACGAGGACGGTGGTATGTTTTAGATTCTGGTTTAGGTGCGCACGGTTTGTCAGAGCAGCCAGAAGGTGGCCTGTTGTTCGCCAGGTTGGCAGTCTGGGCTCAAGGGACTACAATTTTTTTACCCAGGGGAATTTACCACCAACACTTACCCTGTAGCCTTTTGAGATCTAATTGTTTTTTTCTAAAAGGAAGAAAAGATGTAAAGTGATAAGAATGAAAGAAGCTAAATCCAGCACCTTGTATATTAGCAAGAATGGAGATAAAGAAAAGGAGTGGTACCCAAGCTTTCTCTCCATAATAAAAATTCTTGGATTGAAAGATAATTCAACCCAGTCTTATTGTGCTTTCGTAAGAGTGAGCTGTGTGTCAAATCTGACTGCGAGAGAATCGTTTATTAAAAATGAATGTAGCTGATGTCCCCTTTCTCAACAATTACTACTTAGGCTACTGTGGCCTTGACCTGTGAGATCAAAGCTATTGTGTTTTGAGATATTCGTGTCCCATAACTTCTGGAGATTTAGGAATTTTCAAATCAGCTGGAGACTGGGATTTCTGTGGTCAGCAGAGGTGAACGTTCTTCTCACTGTCTCCCGCAAAGCAGGTGGGCTTTTGGGTTTTGTTTGGTTTTGAGTGTTTTGTTTGGTCGTTTGTGGTGACTTTGTAGATGCGCCTGATGGACTTGGCCTTTCTGTGTATGGATTTCTATTTTCTTGGCTTCGGTTCCCTGGAAACGTTTGTTCTGACGGCGGTAGGAGAGTTAGTTGAGTCATGCTTTATTTCTGCTGCTCCTGTCTATTTCTAATATCCTGTAGTTCAAGTCCACTTATAAGACGTTGTGTGACCTGCTTTTGTGCCTCTACAAATAGAATGTTCCTCTTTGTAGCTCTAGAGCAACCTTGCAGCAGTAGTTAACGTGGGGCCTAGACAGTGCACGGCAGGAGGATTCTATTGTGTTAATAGCCACCACCAGGGCATGTTTTGAAAATTATGTATGAAATTCTTAATTGCATTTAGCACTTATATGTGAAATTTCAAGTTTCCTAGATCAATTATTTTGTTATCAAGTAGCCATATACTTATAAAATTATTTTTCTTTTTTTATCACTGAGTCAAAAAAAGTTGGAAAATTCTTTTCTCACATATTCCATTCTTTTTTAAAGCTTATTTATTTCTATGTATTTGAAAAACAGAGAGAAATAGAGAGAGTTACAGCGAGAGAGAGAGAGAGTTCCCCTCTGCTAATTCACTCCCTAAATGCCCACAACAGCCAGGGCTGGGCCAGGCTGGCGTCAAGGAACCAGGAACTCTATCCGGGTCTCCCCTGTGGGTGGCAGAGGTCCAAGCACTTGAGCCTTCGCTTGCTCTTCTCCCATGATGCATGTTAGCAGGCAGCTGCCTGGGAAACCGAGGTGGGACTTAGCCCCAGGCGCTCTGACATGGGAAGTGGATGTCCCAAGAAGCTGCGTAACCCACTGAGCCACAACGCCCGCCCTATATATTTCATTTTTTAGCTAAGCCTGAAGGTAAATTGCTTTTAAAAACCACATCCCAAACAAAAAACCGTTTTTCATGAAACTGAGAGTAAATGAATAGCATGGGCTCTGCTGGCATCTGGGATGTCCGTCTAATTAGAACTCACAGAGTTCCAACCATATAATTTCCTAAAGCGGAGGTCTTTTATTCCTAACCTTGGGTCCTTTGCGATGAAACAAGTGACCCTTGGTGGAAGTATGTCAAGAATCATTCTCTCGGGTTGACCTTTGGTTTGAGGTCGTCAGCGGGAGATCCTGCCTGTCCCCAGCCTTGTCGGTGTCTGCACCTGCTTGTTTGTGTAAGGGCCGAGGCGTGCCCCTCTCTGCCCTCCTCGTCTCCTCTGACTGGTTTCCGCGTCAGAGCAGGCTCCCCCTGGGCGCCCTGGCTCAGCTGGGCAGTCCCCCGCAGGACTCCCCGGAGGGAGGGGAGGCGCCGTACTCCATGATTGCAATGAGATGTTTGGAAGTCACCCGTGTGGTGCAAGGCTCAGTACCAGGCAGCAGGGACGGCTAGCAATGCTCTCGTGACCCTTGCTCATAACTTTAAACAGAAACGGGAGAGCTGGAGGGACCGGCTTCCTGTGTAACCTTCAGCACACGGCTTCACTTCCCACTGAAATAACTGCTACCCAGGGCTGTTTTCTTAAATAATTGCTATTATATATGACAATAGTTAGCACAAAGCCTGCAACATACTTGCAAGCATCCACTGAATTTATGGGAAGCATGTAATATTCCATAGAAACTCAATCAGGCAAATGCACCCACATGTATCCGCCCCTGGCCATTTGTGACACCAGCAAGGTTCACTTTAAATGGGTTAAGTGCGTCTATCTGTGTTTTTACTACGAAATCCTCAACAAAATTACAAAAAGCTACTTCAGTGATAATCTGCTAACATATTTCATAACGGGAGCCAACTATAGTTTATTTAGAAGAAAATGATGTGTGTTAACAAAAGAAAAAAATCAGATAAATAAAGTGACTGTTTCAAAATATTGAAGTGACAGTTATCTGATCATAGAACATTCAGATGATAGATGCATTTTTTTTTAAAGACAGAGTTACAGAGAGAGATAGAGACAGAGAGAGAAGTCTTCCATCTACTGGTTCACTCCCCAGTTGGCTACAATAGCCCGAGCTGTGCCAATCTGAAGCCAAGAGCTTCTTCCGGATCTCCCACGTGGGTGTAGGGACCCAAAGACTTGGGCCATCTTCTCCTGCTTTCCCAGGCCATAGTGGAGAGCTGAATCAGAAGTGGAGTAGCCAGGACTAGAACCGGCGCCCATATGGGATGCCAGCGCTTCAGGCCAAGACTTTAACCTGCTATGCCACAGCGCTGGCCCAGGTGCTTATAAAATATACTTGTTTTTCAAGTTGCTTTTTTTTTTTTTTTTTTTTGACAGGCAGAGTGGACAGTGAGAGAGAGAGACAGAGAGAAAGGTCTTCCTTTGTCGTTGGTTCACCCTCCAATGGCCGTCACGGCCGGCTCACCGCGCTGATCCGATGGCAGGAGCCAGGTGCTTCTCCTGGTCTCCCATGGGGTGCAGGGCCCAAGCACTTGGGCCATCCTCCACTGCACTCCCTGGCCACAGCAGAGAGCTGGCCTGGAAGAGGGGCAACCGGGACAGAATCCGGCGCCCCTACCAGGACTAGAACCTGGTGTGCCGGTGCCGCAAGGCGGAAGATTAGCCTAGTGAGCCGCAGCACCGGCCATGTTTTTTAAGTTGCTTTTAAAAATCTTTTCATGATCTTACAGGAATCTTTTTCTCATTATTGAGTGACCAGCCATGCTGTGCTTCATGTTAACTTTTTTTTTTTTTAAACTAGTGCCCATTTGGGATACCAGCATCGCAGGCAGAGGCTTTAACCTGCTACTCTACCAATGCCAGCCCTGGGCCTTCAGGGTTTTTTTTTTTTTTTTTTTTTTAAGATTCATTTATTTATTTGAAAGTCAGTTACACAGAGAGTGGAGAGGCAGAGAGAGAGAGAGAGAGAGAGAGGTCTTCCATCTGATGGTTTACTCCCCAAGGGCGCAACGGCCGGAGCTGTGCCAATCCGAAGCCAGGAGCCAGGAGCTTCTTCTGGGTCTCCCATGCGGGTGCAGGGGCCCAAGCACTTGGGCCATCCTTTACTGCTTTCCCAGGCCACAGCAGAGAGCTGGATGGGAAGTGGAGCAGCCAGGACTCGAACCAGCACCCATATGGGATGCCGGCACTGCAGGCCAGGGCGTTAACCCACTGCACCACAGCGCCAGCCCCAACGGTAACTATTAATACACCAAAAATGACCGCTCCCTGTCCTTTTCCTGAGTGGCACCTTGCTGTGTCCTCACGTTCATTTCAGGGACAGGAAAGGAGTGACTCACTGTGATAGCTGGTGCTCTCCCTGCGTACCAGAAAGCAGGGAAGAGACGCACCCCCTCCGGCCCCCTTCGCCTTGGAAGGAGTCTCCCAAGTTCACAGGCACCAACACTGCAGTAAACTTAAAAGACAATTTGCTCAGACACTTCTTTCCATCTGCAAGTTATTTGGACTGAAACATGAGGTGCTGGATTTCAGTATGAAGGTAACTTTGCAGGGGAAAGTTTGTTTCAACTAAAGCAGTTGCTTTTGTGTTATATAAGAAAATTAGCAACTTTTTCCTGAGCTATACATTTAACATGATCCTATTACATCAAATGACAGAATTTCCAAAGCTCAGAGTTCAGAGCTG